GATGCTGTTAATAAATCTAATATAACATGTAACGGGGTTTGATCACCACCAGTCATCGGTATAGTTGAACTAGCTGTTGGAATTTCTGATAAATGATTGAGGATAGACGTCGATCTTGTTGACATAACACGATGTATTTTCCAAACTGCTACTCCCAGTAGAAAAACAATAATCATGATAAGAATAAAATAAGGAATAGATTCGGCAGATTGTCTCAAATTGAATTTATGAATATTTTTGACATTTTCTTGTGATTATCCAACAACTTTGTTTTCATCCCTAATCTTTGAAGATATGATAACTTTTTTATATTCTGCTTTTGTTCAAGACATTGAGGTCGCATGTTACGGCTATGAAGGTGTTGATGCAGTGAAAGCCGCATTGAAAGAGGGCCTTGACATGTCTACAGAAGAAAAGCCCGTAAAAGTAAGATTTGCGTTTATTATATCTACCATCTACTGCGTTCAGTAACGTTGTTGTTGTTTATTTGCACATTTAAAAACAGATTGCCAGCGCTTACCGGTCGCGTTCACTAAAGTGTCTACATTTATCTAATACATTTAGATTAATTTAATTGCACCACCATTGTATGTTATAACGTCGACCTGTCTCGATCGTAAAGAGGGTTTAGATACATTAGAACGTGTAATTGAATGTATTAAATCAGGTATCGAAAAATATCGTGGAATATTTAAAGTTAAAATGGCACCAAAAGTTGTTACAGATGTTGATGATCATGCATTACAAGTACGTTTGAAGAAATAAAGAAACTATCAAAAAGGATTGCATATTGACATCAAATTTGTGGGTGTCTCTCTCTCTTTCTTCTCTTCAGAAACAAATGGAAGATGCTGAACGAGAAAATGAGGAAGTGTCAGGGGATGACACTGACGATGAAGAAGGGGAAAACGAAGGTAATGTCGGTAACCGTAATAACGTGAGGCAGAAACTTATGAATCGAAAACAATGTCTCTGCCTGTTTTCTGATCTTTTAAAAAGGTCATTCACGTGAAAGAAGACAAAGTATTCGTTCACTGCGCTTTTCGTCCTGGACTTGGAAATTTAATAATGTTGATGTACTTGCACTTGCTAGATCCAGCGCACTTTCATCAAAGAAAATTAAGAGACTTATCTGCGGAGCAGATTAGGAAAGATTTCGAGTCTATAATTTTAGATTCTTTGTGAATCGGCTGAATGATTTTTCAGATGCAATAGGTGCTCAGTTATGTGCTTGGAGCAGTTATATATTCTTTTAGACATAAAAGTTGAAACTCTCTGCTGCTCTTCAGTATAGTTTTTACTGTCAAAAAATTACATAACTGCTATTATTAGCAATTATTCTTATAAAAAATATCGTTCTGTGTTACAAGGGCTAAAAGCAAAGTGTCTGATATCAAACAGAAATACTTTTTTCTAAAGTATGCCAGTTTTTGAACTGTTTCTGAATACGTGTTAGCGGATTAAATAACATATATGTTGTCGCTTATTTAAGATAGTAGAAACCTTTCCGTTTGTAAAATTTATTTATCTTCTTTGTCTGCCTGATCTATTTCTAGGAGGTATCAGCGGCAAACTACTGAGTGAAGTTGATGTCGATGAAGATGAGGAAGGTCGAAATGATACAGCCTCCGGAACAACATCGAAAAAAACGCAACAAGCCACGACGACGGCGATATCATTGAAGAAGAAATCTACTGTGGTGGATTCAGACGATGCAGACGAAAATGAAGATTAGAAAGCGCGTTGCTCCGAATGTTTGTTGGTTTTGTTGTTACTTTGAATTTTTTTAATTAGAACTATTTTCTACATCGATGTTATTATTTTTCTTTCATATATTCCTCATTCGTTAAAACAAAAGATAAACCAAATAGTGATATGTGAAGGTTATTTTTCTTTTTCTACAACATTTTTGTCTGGGCCATGTGCATTGACGAAACGATGAACAAAACTTTTGCTCAAATTTTTCTCATTTTTACAATGTTTTGATGGCCAAGAACAGAGAGAATGGTAGCACACAGAGAGCAAGCACATGTAGGTGAAAAAACAAACGTGCGGTCTTCAAGATTAAAACAACGGGTCACATGGGATTAAAACTGTGCTACAGCTTTCGGGAAATCCGTAACAGAGTTTGTATTAAAAAACTGGCCTATACAGACAGAAATATGTTTTTGAAATACCAAATGTGAAAACTTCAAAAATCATACATGTTTAAAAACAAGAACATCCACTCCGACTATCGTTAAAAATTGTGGAACGTTTTAAAATCGAGAAAATAATTTTTCTTCGTGCGCTATGTGTTTTCTGAAAGACGGCGGTTTGTATAGGGCGTTCATCGTTTTTTTACTAAGTTCTAAATGGAACAAAATTTTCAGAGAATATTGTCCTACAAGTGATACTGTTACAGTTTTAGCGTAAAGTGGAGTCAAGGGTTTAGGACAATTATGCGCCTGTGCTTCACGAAATGTAGAACGGCATTTAATAAGGCGCGCGTAATTCAAAAATCAAGTACTATTTTATTTTTAACTTCTTTATATATGATTCGACAGAAAATTTGAAGCTGATCACCAATATCGCCTTTTTAGCCTTCCCAGTGCACGTTTGCGCGTCGAAAAATTGAAAATACGGGAAGGGTCTTAAAATCCGAAAAACTTTCTCGTTTCAAAAAAGATTACTTTTTCTCCTTTTTATTTTGAAACTCTCAAACAGCCTTTTCCTAAGTCAGCGTTGAACATTGAATTCGAAAATGTGTTTTTGAGGCTTTCCATATGTAACGTCATTGCACGAAAAATTCATCTTCAAGGATATCTCCACAGCGGAGACCTCGTTGGAAAAGCTATCTGGTTTTTTTGGTAAAAGATAGAACGTTCATTCTAGCACCATTCGATCGCTCTTGATTTGTACTACAAAAGTATAATTCGTTCCTTTTGAAATTCCTCTGCATTGCTGAGAAACTTCACTATGCTAAATCAGGCGCGAAAAAATCGGAATTCTGCCCGTGATTCGCAATTTTCTCCACCAAGAGTCACTTTTTGTGCAATAAAAGTATCATATTCGGAGTCAGCATCAAAAGCTGAGTCGAATGATATATGATTTGAAAGTTTCCGATGATTTTTAGTTTTGGCTGAAAATCTCAGTAAATTTCAAAAAACCCAAAATTTTCACCCAAAAATCATATACAATTCGACTCAGTTTTTGACGCTGACTCTGAATATGATACTTTTATTGCATAAAAAGTGAATTCTGATGGAGAAAATTGAGAATCATAAAATCGAGAAGCATCTGTCTTTTAATGTGAGGAAAAGACGCGTCTGCATGCATTTATTCTTCGTGAAGATAGAAAAGTGCGTTCAAACGCTATCTAATGATCAGTTTGAGTCAAAAACATGCACAGAGGTTGTTTTTCGCGAGTAATAAAAGAGAGCATGTGTGTACATTCGTCTCTACCGGGTAGCGCGTAATGAATGGTATACTTAGTATTTTACTTACAAGTTTTTTCCTTTTCAATCCTTAGACCTGATTATTTGTCCAAACGATGCGCCGTCAAATTCTCTACAAAATGATATACAAATGTTGTGATATTTATTCCATATACATTTTTTATTAAATGAAAAG